CCCCTCAAAATTGTTGAGTTTGTCTGCAATTATTGTTTTCTCCTTTGCTACTAGGAGTCCAGTAAAAGGACGTCTATTTATTATACTGGCCCCAGACGCACGCGTCCAAGTCCTAGAGCCTGTGGAATGGGCCGAGCCTCTGTTTTGGGTGCAAGCCAGTTGACTGCAGGCTCAGCTTTGAACTCTCAGAAATCCGGTGCCTATGATCCCTTACAAACAGTGGTCGGTAGACAAGGAAATCAAGAAGAAGGTACTAAGTTTTAAGTTTTTTTGAATCCGCCAAGAAATTGAAACGCGTTTACGAGTGGAGACTCGCTCGCGCGAAAGCTAACGCGAAATCCATATAAAAGAGTGGTGTGAAATTCAAACACGAGAGCCTGCTCACACGCTAGCATTGTATCGTCCGGTCCCAAAGTAGTAAATGTACTTCCGAAATTTGCCAAAAGAAGGTCCGAAAATCTTCGTTCCAAGTTTATTTGTAAGTCCAAGTATTTTTTAGTTTCGTGAATTTAGCCTGCAACTTGCCCTTCATGGCAGTACAACTCGACTCAGGTCGCTGGCTAGGTTCAACCATACATGTATTCCTAGTCCAAATCCGACTGCAGCCTCGTTCCTTCAGGTTCACTTCGTTGGTTTTTGTTTGTTTGTTTGTTTGTTTTTTTCGTCAAATAAAGATGATTGTTAGTCGTCAGTTCGTAATAGACTAATTGCGAGACCTCTGTTTGTTCCTATTTGTGAGTATTTCATCTTGTATGCATACAGAGAACGAACCTATGGTGGGTTTGGGAGCCAGACAGTTCCCAACAGGACAACCTGAACCAGGCCTCCAGACTGCGAGTAACAATCCTCTGTTGACACCCGGGCGAAAACTGGTGTCAAGTGCCCAGCCTTCCTCTGCCAGAGATCAGCCAAGTTGGGCAGAAATTTTCACACCTCAGCGTAGCGCTCGCGTCCAGGAATCTGCAATACAAGCAACTCGTCTGCAACCTTCTCTCGAACCATTGCGAACTCCTGCAAAACAGCAGGGTCCTCAGGAGGATATTTGTACGCCACAAAGACTACTACTTGAAACCCAAAGCGCCGCTATAGCACAAGAGCATGTTCGCTCGACTTTTGCAAATTCCTCGTCTTCTATACGGCAGCCGTTAGTTGAATTTAAGCAACAACACAGTGCCTTGACCGTAGATTTGCAGCGCAATCATGACACCATGGCAACACCCGCCCGTCAATCTCAGACTGGTTCTCAGGGTCCTAGATCAGACCTTCCGCCGGAATGTTCCCACGTCCCTGGTCCTAGTTTCCAGCTCCCTGCGAGAACTTTCACCACCCCAGTGCAACAAGGTGCTCTTGTTTCCCAGTCTTTCAGCTCGGACCAGCCACCGCTTTGGTCAGAGATTTTTACTCCACAGCGAGTTACAAGACAAAACGTTGCTGCTCAAAACATGGCAGCTCATTCCTTCAACGATCCCTTAGTTACCCCTCTGAGGCAAAATTTGCCAGTGACCGAGGACCCTAGTTCAACTCACCGACAGCAACATCCAATAGCAGACGTCTTTACCTCCAAGCAAGGTGGAGATGCGATCCAAGACCTCGGACCCAGGCTTCGATGTTCCACGGTTCAAATTACCAGTTTCCAGCCCGCCGTCGATACCACCCAGGACTCTTGTTCAATGGACGAGTTCTTAACACCTCAGCGGAAAGATGGCTCTGGAAAGGAACTTTTCAAACTCACTACAGTAGAGGTTTGATAATCATTATTATAATTATATTATTTTTGAGGCAAGGAAAATCAGTCAAATCAGAAGTAAAATCAAAACCAATCGTGACTCGCTCGCTCACGTTTTCCCGCGCTTTTCGTCGGCTACATGTATTTGCTTTGAGTTTTGATTGGTTCACTGGATTGTCTGTGTAATTTGTAATTGGTCAGAGTGATTACTTTAAATTTGGTTTAACGACACTCAACTGAAAGATATAAAGTCTGCATAGAGCCAAGCGGCCCACCAGGCCGGAGCTTACCCCGGTTTCTGTAGCATGAAGCGACTAGGAGTATTTCTACTCCCCGTTAGTTATGTTAGTCCAGCGCAGTTACCCCTCAGCATTATATTCGCCGGTACCCATTCATAAACCTGTGTGGAAAGAGCCACTGGGAGAGTAAAATGTCTTGCCCAAGAACGCAACTCAATGTCCCCGGCTAGGGCTCGAACCCGGACTTCTCGATACGGAGACGAGCGCACTAACCATGAGACCATCGCGCCTCCCATTCAACTGAAAACTGCTCAAAAAGGGACAAACTGAAGGAAGTAAATGGAAAGTTGAGACTAATTACCAATGACGATCTTAACTGAAAGTTCGACTCCCGTTTCGGCGCCTTAAGGAAAAAAGCTCTCTTTGCAAGACGCAATTCTTGAATTGACTTTGTCGTTCTTGTCTGTTTTCCTTCTCTCTCAGGAAGAGGACGATGTCGCATTTCTAGAACGTCAAGCACTCGAAGATCTAGGCCTGCTTAAAATCACCGACGAGTTTCACAAAGACTCAGTTGCTGCCTCGTGTACCACGATTCAAGAGAACAGTGATGTTATGCCCTCGCTGTTGTTTAACACTTGGGTGGATTCGTCCAGAAGTGTGGCACATGAGAAAAGCACCTTGCAGTCGGTTACAATACACCGGCCAGCGGAAGGCGTTCTTGATCCGTCCAGATCTTCGTGTAATGCAACATCGACGAGTATCAACCAACACTCGAGCTTTGAACAATGCCCAAGCTACTCTCCGGCAGTGCGATTTGCGCTCCCTAAGCCCTCAAAAGAGTCTAGGACAAACATCTCCAATACTTTGCACACGAGCTCTTTTACGTCGAGAGAAAGGGAGCTAGTGACCTCTAGAGAGGCACCTCCGATACCTTTCAATTCCACTCCTTCATTTAGCCGCCAAGGTGTATCTGAAAATAGCGCTCCTCTCGTCGAAAGAACTGGTACATGGAGTACACCTCGTCAACGTTCTTCATTTACAAAGTACTCAAAGATTAATCCAGCCCCCCGCATAGCGCCCATACCACTGAAGGTGTCACATCGTGCGGATACATCCAGAGAACCTCGCATTACTTCTGCTTCAAGCACAAGTCCTGTGGAAAGCCCAGCGTCCACAAGTAAGGAAGTAACTTCAAAAGGACCAGACAATCGTCCAGTTCAGGTCGTGTCACCGACTCCAAAAGTACACGTTTATAAACACGTCCCATCTGACAACAGGAGTCTTTCCCTTAGGTCGGCAGTGTCGTCTTTGAATCCTGGCGGCGTTACTCAGAGGACCGTACCATTCAGTGGTGGGGCTAACGCACAATTTCGCTGGGAACCGAATGGTCCCGAGATTATTCCAAGTGCCTTTCGACCAACGACTTCGGCGTCCCGTAGATTACCGAAAACTTTGGCTCAAGATGCGCTACTCGATATGGAAGTTTCTGTTTACATGACGGCTGGTCATGACCGCGTGGTAGCAGCGGGGGACTGGCACCACAGGCCGATGAATCCGCTGGCCAAAGTGTTTTCTGAGGGAGATTCAATGGTAAGTGCGATTTTTTTGGTGTGTTTGCTACAAGGAAACGTCGCGACCATTGGATCGAAATCTCTAAGGGAGCTGTTCCAATTAAAACATTAGTTAAGGTATATTGGTACCCCGTTAACACGACCACTTCTGGCCATAAATTCTGGCTGATTTAAAAGGGCTCTTAAAATAAGTTAATGACCGAGTAAGGTTGTAAGGCGGATGTCCACTTGACCCTTATCATTTGTTTGTTGTCCTATCTCAAACCAGTGAGGATTATTTCTTTCAGGTTCAAACCTTTCTCCGTGGAAAGGAGTGAGTAATTTCAAAATGAGAAAGGACCATTTCTTTATTAGAGGGCGTCATGTGATTTGAAATGGGCAGCTTACAAAAGAAGTCGGTTTCCTTTACTGTGTAGGGAGACATTTGCTTACGCTTATGTTCGCTGCGAAACAGGTCAATGCCTATCTTAAGCGATACATTGAAACATCGCGACATCCACAGACCGAGACTTCTCCCCCCTCCCTCCCCTTTGACGAAAATTAAACTGGTTTGAAATCATTCTGACCCAAAACTACAACACATGGATCGATGACAGTGATGATTCAGTTGGCATGGTATTCGCACTGTTTTAGCTCGGTAAGTTTACTAGTTTGAATCATATACTGTGTAACTGGTTTTTATGTTTTTCTCTCTCTTCAGCACTTCCTGCCAATTTGTGTACATCAATCGCTGTAGTATCCAGCAGCTGTTTGTGAATCTTGCTGTTTCTATTCAAAACTTCGCGTGTTAGTCTGCTATTAATGTTGGGAGTCGAGTCATTGCTTAGTTCATCTTTCAAAACTTGATACCAGTAGGTTCGTTTCGTGAAAAACTTGCTTTGAAGGGAAGCTTCTTGGGTTAGTATTCCATGTATGACCCCGACCTATGAATGACCCCAACCCTAACCCTAATTATTAATTTCAGAGTTACGGGGTTGATCATAGATATTCAGGACGTTTCATGGGGTCATGCATGGAATTCTGACCGCTTCTTGGATGGTTCCTAAAGTCCGCTGTCTAGTTTAGCCTCAGTTTCTAGTCTCCCGGATGAGAAAAA